TATGACTGAGTGAGACCGACTGGTCCCTTTGTCAAGCTATGACTGAGTGAGACCGACTGGTCCCTTTGTCAAGCTATGACTGAGTGAGACCGACTGGTCCCTTTGTCAAGTTATGACTGAGTGAGACCGACTGGTCCCTTTGTCAATGTCTTAACCCCAAACAAGCCTGTATGAATATCAAAGTTTTACTTTTTAGACAAACAATGTACGTATTAAACGTATCACGTTTCAAGGCCGACTGGTCCCTTTGTCAAGCTATGACTGAGTGAGCGATTTGTATTATTTTTACCTGTACAACGATGTGACAAAATTGTATATAAATTTATTTTTGTTTGGTGCTCTGTGGCGGATTTCAGCCACCTAATTTTAACACAAAGTACCTTGTTATTTTTTTCAGGCACGAATACATCTAGGATTTTACGTTGTGTATCTGGTAGAATGGCTCAAGGTTTTCCCAAGGAAGCAGTTTCTGATTATACGGTTTGAAGACTACATCACTGATATCCCAAAGTACATCAACCGAGTATACAGATTTCTCGACCTAGGTAGGTCCAATATGATTCACAGAAGGAATGTTAATAATAATAATAATAATATACAACATTTGATATAGCGCCCTATCTAGCTGACAAAAGCCACTCTAAAGCGCTTTACAGTACATAGATATACAATTAACACAATTAGCGTATACCTTAATCAATACAATTTTGAGGATTCGCATGAAACTGCCTTATCAGGCGCTAACTACTAGTCCTATGCCACCTGGCTAATATATCCCTATGTGTGTATGCCTGCGTGTAAGCTGGAGATGTAATTTTGTGCAAGTCGAAAGTATTTAAAAGTAATTGTCGGAAAGTATACGATACATATATGTTTTAAAAACGCACTATGAACGGTTATGGTGCCAGATGTAGTAAGTGTACATCAGTGTTATCTCCCTTTGTACTTCTCCTGTCGGTTATAACTTACGTGCTAAACGCACGGTCCAAATACTCGTCAAGTGTGCAAATGGAAATGTCAAAATTGTAAAAGAGTGGTTGCAATATTAATGTTTTTGGATATTTTTCAACGTATGATCTGGTCGATAGGTAAACTGTATATAGCTGCTATTTTAATGGATCTATCAAAAGCTTTTGACTGCCTACCACATGAAATTCTACTTGCTAAATTATCAGTTTTGGTCTTTCGAAACCTTCACTTAATTTAGTAGACAATTATTCAAATGACAGAACTCAAACAAATGAAAATCCAAACCTCTTTCAGCAGCTGGAACAGTATCAAAAAGGGTGTACCCCAAGTCTCAATCCTGGGTCCACTTCTTTTCAACATATTTATTAATGACATGTTCCTCTCTGTACAACACTGCCAACTATATAGCTACGCTGACGACAATTCCCTATCACATTCATCCTCAAATCTAAACAAACTTATATCTGCACTAGAACAAGACACAAAACATCTCATACACTGGTTCGACATAAACAAAATGAAAGCAATCCCTGACAAATTTCAAGCATGCACTAGCCATAGGAAAAAAGACCCGGTCACAAAACATCTATTTCAAAATCAATGACACCTCTCTTACATGTGAAGACTGTGCAAAACTGCTAGGTGTTAGACTTGCACATCAAAAACATTTGCAGAAAAGCCTCACAACAACTAAATGTACTTTATAGAATTTAGAAAACACCTAAACAGACTAAATAAGCTCACAATATTTCACATCTTTATTATTTCACACTTTAACGTATGCCCACTCTCTTGGCATTTCTGCTCTGAAACAAATATCACAAAAATAATAAAACATCAGTATAGGGCACTCAAATTTTCCAATTCATACGATGACCTCTTGACCCGGGTACACATACCTACCCCCCCCNTAGAACCACTACATACGGCATGATACCCTTCAGATACACCAATGCATTATGCATCCCACAAGTTAGAACCACTACATACGGCATGATACCCTTCAGATACACCAATGCATTATGCATCCCACAAGTTTGAACCACTACATACGGCATGATATCCTTCAGATACACCAACATATTAGACATCCCCACAAGTTTGAACCACTACATACGGCATGATATCCTTCAGATACACCAACATATTAGACATCCCCACAAGTTTGAACCACTACATACGGCATGATATCCTTCAGATACACAGCAGCCTACCCAACACATGTAGGGCAACAAATAACCACTCACTTCACATCTTTAATATTCTCCTGGAACGGTACACAATGAAAATGTTCAGCCTGCAAATGAGTGTTGGATTACATATATAAAATCTATAAATTGTATGTAAATAAAACGGCCTACGAATCGAAATATTAATAACACATTTTAAGATAACTTCATATTCTTGTGAAGGATTGCATGTTTCGAGGTAAGCTGTATAATGTACCGGTTTTATATCACCCATCACCCTCACTTCTACACACTTTCCTGTCTCATTTTTGAATGTATTTTAACAGATCTGTGCTAATTTATTGACTATATCACATGAAATCTGATGTGTTTTAAAATATATTAGATGTATTAATTGTTCTAACAACAATGTGTAAAGAATGTGTTTATCTGACAAAACGTGTCAATAGATACTGATAGTAGCTCGAGATCTGAAGTGTTTTATCTGAAATAATATTTGTATTGCCTTACTGTTAATAGGTCAAACATGTCAAGCGGAATGTCTTTGTATGTAACATGTTTGTCGGTCAAGAACTCTATAGAGCTTATGTTATTTGTTTTAAAATGGTCACCGACTTTATTTTTTTTTATCTTATCTTATCTTATCTATCTTATGTACAAGGGCAATAAAATGTATGTGTGTCGATACCGCACATGTTTTCTTAGAAAATAGGTGATATAAACTCGACCTGTACTTTGATATTAGTAGTCAATACACAAAAAATGATAACTGCATTATCTATATAAAAGTTGCATATATAGCAAGGTAGGTGAATGTGGGTTGACTAAATATTTCGCTTTACTGGGGAATCAAGCTAACTTAATTTCGCTGGTGGTATTTTAGGAAAGTTCAGAAATCCTTTGATACTGAGAAATAGCATGGGGAAATGTCAGTGGGAACTAGACTTCAGAATTTTAAAAAATTGTTGTAAATGTAGTATAGATACATCCGATTGAAAGCCTGTCATTTCGGCAAAATTGAGTTTGTAGTATTTGATCGTCTAAATATAATGTATATAGATAAATTAAATAAAAAACATAACCATTTTGCCAAAATTTTGATATTAATCCAATTTCGGGTATAGATGCCTAAGCTAGAAGAACAACATACAATTAAAGAAACAACATACAAAGAATAGCATACGAGATTGGTTTGGGTGAACTTCAGACTGATTTATTAGCGCATTACACAATAATCAAACAGTAAAATAATAATAAATCAGTATCATTGATCTCTGGTTTTTACATAAGATTTCCGTCTCCTTTTATCAAAATATTGACATATTGACATGTTGAAATTGCATTTTGTTTTTTCTGATAATTTTAAATATTACAATAAAAAGATGTATTTGTTTCTATGCGATAGCGCAGAATTATAGAATGCTACTTCAGTAAATAACCATGCCGAAAGCATCAAATACAGTACTCCACCCGATCACATTATACTGACAACAGGTGAACCAGTCGTTGTGCTCACCCATAATGCTCAACGTTCAATAGAGGATAACCATTTAAAACATCTTGTATTACAATTAAATTATTAGCTCTTTGGAATATGAATAAAACAAAGATAAAACTTAATCAACTAATAAAGATTTTTTTTTTTTATTAACAAAATTAATAATTTGAATGTGATTCCTTGTTTCCCTCAGCTCCCGTGTCCCTACAACAGACGGCGGTCCTTGGTATTCTCAGTCCGGTCCGTGAGAACGTCACCAAGCGGAAGGTCAAGGCCAAACCTATGCTGAACAAGACCAGAGACATTCTTAGGGACATATACCAACCGTTCAACGTGGAGTTGTCGAACCTTTTGAAAAACGAAGACTTCTTATGGTCGTGAAAACAAAGATGGCGTGTTATTCCAGTATTACCCATTACTACCTATTAGTCGGGCTCTCTGAACAGACAGTTCTATGTCCATATCGCCGAGGAACTTCTGCATTGTTTTACTGAGTCAATATCCTAAAGATGATCGGCCATGATCAATATCAATATGATCAATATCGCCGAGGAACTTCTGCAGAGTTTAACTGAGTCAATATCCTAAAGAAGATCGGTCATGATCAATAGTCTGTGGATGTTTTCGCAGAAATGCTGTATGATCAACACACCAAAGACGTGGACGATCTGCAGTGACGTTCTAGAGATATACTATAATGCTCTATGTTTATATCCCATAGATGTTGTCTGATCAATTTCCCATAGACCTATGATTTGCTGGGATGTTCTTCTATCAATAATCCATAAATGTATTGGAGAGACTGTCTCTTGTTAATATCATTTGTGATTTGGTGATCTGCTTTATGGCCATTAGCCCAGAGATGTTCGACAGATGCTCTTTGATCAATATTTATAGTTTAATCAGACGGTCTATACACTGTCCGAATGAAAACTATCTGAACATTCTGCTGCCAATATTTCTTGGGCATTTAGTAAAAGTTTTCTGTAATCGACGCTCCGTATGGATCCTGGAGAGGCATTTCCATTAAAGGAATTTCCAGACAGTTTTTGGACGCTTTTCCGACTGAACACACTCCGAACACTCAAAATAGATATATAACGGACGTTCAGAAGAAGAATTCTAGAGAGATACTGTTTGGTTAATTTGCAAAGCTATTAAGTCACTGATGCTGATCTTGAGAGGAAAAAACCCATTTGAATATTCTACAGCCAATATTTGATTGACGTTCATATAGTTATTTTGTTGCCTAGGTGAAGTAGTATGTTCTTTATAGTGGAGACTAATAATGTATCTATATCAAGTTATCACATTTGAGACTATATACTCCGTGTATGTTCTTCGTGTCAAATGCAAGAAAATGAATATAAGCCAGAAGTTCTTTTTTTTTTGTCTGTGAAACCCAACTATAAGAACTTTCTAGTTTCGTATTTTTTTCGTTACAATGTGTACGGTATTTAATATGTGTAAAAGTCCGCATTTGTCCGAAAACACTGCTTTTGGCGATCGGTCTTTAAATATCTATCGCTTGATATCTTGGAATTCACATTCAAAAACGGGAATGGACCTTCTGTAGCACCGGGGAACAATTGTTTTTTTTTTCTTCATTTAGCTGCAGTTGTCATGTCGCATTGATTTCAATATGGTCCTTGTGTGTACACTATGTCATACTTAACAGGTCGCTTATCCTAATTTTCACAAACGATTCTCGGTAGGAACTGCCAGTCCATTGCCACTCACGGTCATTTTTCAGCGATCCACTCCATTGAATGCCCATGAATCGGGTCCACAAAGTTTTTGGATGAAAGAATGGCGACAGACTATTTTCTTGTCATTACTTGAGAAAGGTCGACAGAATTGTGTAAATTATAATATATTATAAACGATTACCTGGGAGGTAGCGCTTATTTTTTAACATTGAACGGAGAGTGGTAGCCAAAACAATCTGGGGTTATTCGGGCGGCATTCTTTCCCATATTTCCGATTTTATCTTATTTGGGAGAACCATGTTGTCCTTGTATAATGCTTTAAAACAAACGACGACACAAATTTGTGATTCATATCACAGTTTATTGTACATTAAAAATCAACAAGCACAGTTTAATGACACATTTGAGATAGCTTGAAAAAATATATTTAAATGTTAAACACTGTGAACAACTCTGAAAGAGTGAAACAAAGGCATCACACACACAAAAAAATGTTTCCCTTTAGATTTATTTTGTTAAATATATACGTAGTATATACCGTGTTGATGACTTGACTAAATATCTCAGATGTCAATTTAACACTGTTATTTCATATTTAAAAACCGAGTCTTGTCAACCTGTAATTATATCATTTATTCTGCTTAGGTTATAGATCTTTGGGACTCGTTACAATAGAAAGTAACTGCACTTTGGATATATCCAAGAACATGTTTACGGCACTTAATTCCTTGCTATCATAATCGATGGTCAAAGAGGGAGAGACTTTGTTGAAAAAAATCGAATTCGTGGTCGATCATCTCTTGACAGTCACATAGTAGCACAAACTTCACTTATCACACAGATAGGTCTGTCGGTCGACTGTGAGTATCAACAGAAATATAAAGCTAAAATAATAAAGCTCCGGTGATGAATTCAGGTTTAGAAAAGCCTGATGCTTAGTGTAAAAAACAAAATGACACCAATGAAAGCGATTGAAAAAAAGTCTCTAACCTTGCTAGCCCCTTACCTAGCTACAAAATGCTATTTCAAACGAATAACAACAAGTATGGAGTGAACATAAAAGCAGTTCATAATGACCTAGATTAGATTCAGACAAAGACAGTCAAAAATACGGAGAAAAGTGAAGATTTGAAAAGAGATTTTTTGATGTGATTTTTTTGTTATTACGAAAATGTGTTTGATTCAACATCCACAAACAAACAAAAACAAGTTATATAAAAAAAAAAAAAAAAAAAAAAAAAAAAAAAAATTTTGAAAAGTTCTGCAAGGCATGCATTATTCTTCAGAAATAATTTATCAAAACTATCGTTACACTGTTACAAAGGTCCAGTTCCTAGTTAAAGAGTTTTAGTCAGTGGTCCAGGAACCTTAATGTAAAACAAATTTCTTTATTTGGAAACGATTTTACTGGCATTAAACCAAGTTCATGTTATTGCGTCTTCCCAAGGTCTGTTCTGGACAAGTTCTTGTTGCGATGTAGGTCAATACGCCTTCCCAAGACGTTCACGTGTGCCTTTATATCAACTTTAAGTATGCTATCGTGAAAGGTGAAAGAGTTAGGCTCAAGACAATCAACTGCTAATAATGCAATTTCCATATTGCCAAACAATCATAATTCGTGCAAAGGCGCCTGATTAAAATATGCATTGCATCTAAAATAAACAAACAAACATGTATGTTTCGTATCAATAGTCTAAACTTATCTAAAATAAGCAAGACATTTGGTACATAATGAAAGTGAGTGAGTGAGTTGGGTGTTATAAGTTGTTTCATGATTGTTGTAAAATAAATAAAGTTTATATTTATATTTATTTACATCATGAAAGCGTTCTCCCGGTGTTATATCTACAAATAAGCGACATATTGACCCGGGAAAATATAGTTGCTTGCTATTCCTTCTGCTTAGTCTCTTGAAGTATATTATGTATAAGTGATCATGACACCTGATAAGATGTTTTCTAGTGAAAATAAACAGGGTATCACAACGAATTGCAGAATTGAAATAGGTAGAAACGTGAAAACAATTCAGAGGACGGATGGCTGACTGTTTTGCACTTATTTCTGTCGCATCTTCACCCGTGTAGGATTAAGACATTTTAATCTGTAAGCGTATGGAAGAAAGGGTCACTTAATGGAGCAACTTATAGTAATACCCTAGGCTTTGCGGAATGTTTCTTCTTATACATAAACCTGAGAATGGAATTACGTTTTTCACCTACATTGTATATGTTTTAGAGTATTTTCTCTTACATTTGTCATGGATAAAAACGTCAATATAATGCGAGAAAAAATAACAATTGTCAATCCAACTTCCATACTTGTTGTATGACACAAATGGTTTCAACAACATTAGGTCAAATGCCATGCGAGGAATATTTTTCTTACTGTGCACATAAAATCTCAAATATTTCACAATATGATTACATGACATCTGGCATCAATTCTATTTGAATTTCTTACTGTTTCTCTCAATCGATGAAACAGGAAAGGCTCTCGTGCACATTTAACCTCATACACGACATTGCACACAGAACATCCCAACCACACACATGCATGACTTCATACTTAAAACCTATCACTCAAAATCCATGGCCGTGTACAAAATCTTCATAACAATACATACAGTCACGGAATTCCTCAGCCCATTCACTGACAAAATGCAACGGTGTTCTAGTCTGACGGAAGGGAAATGTCATTTCGGGCTGGTTTTCTATGGGTACTCGACACCAGGAGTAGTTAAAAACAATACATGTTGGGTATATCGTTTTTGGGTGTTGTTTCTAATTTTTTTCAATTACTCCTAACGATCAAACGAAGATGTGACTACCTAAACAGACAGCTGTACAGTGTTAGAGCGAGAAACATAAACTGTTTGTTACAAGTACTTATGTCTTACAGACAGGTCTTTTTTCGTCATATTTGAAATCCAGGGATTTACGCTCGGGAAACGTATATTGCAACTCTAAAATAAGTCATTGGAAAATTGAAGGTCACGGTGAGCTTTTTTATTGGTGTCTGTCATGCATACAAACCATACAAATTGTAGGTTGATACCTTTTCTTAGAATATTACAGAGAGCTACACCCGAAATGTAAAAAAGCCTGTCTATTCTACCGCGCGTATTGCTTTGATCTTCATAAAATAATCTGACTAGACTAACTTGTTTCACAAGCAAGGTATCGTGAAGACATCATTCGAATGTGTCACGACATATCCGAGGGATGCAGAGAAGATACGTTTACCATGAAAGGAACCCTTGGATTTCAGGGATGTTTTTTTTACAAAGATCTGTTCTCGTGCTCAAATCATGACAATGTGCTTTAACCCCATTCTTAATTGAAGTGAGAAAGTCATTTCTTATTCGCAATCGTGTAACTGAGCAATATCCCAATGCTTAGAAATACCTTTCTGATCCCATGATAATTTGTCAGCAATGTTACAAATTAACTTGTTTAGGCACCAGAACATATACTGATATTTAATGCTGCGTTTTTTTAAAGATAAAGAATATCGGGTCGGCTGTGAAATACCCAAAGAATCATGTTACACTGTTTTAACATGCCAGTTGTCGGTAAAGAAAAAATGTCAATAAATGAATCTCTAAAATACTCTCTTAAATCCGCAAATAATCCACATTCTTAATTATTATAAGACTTTAAAACTAATGTCAGCACAGCACACATAAAAAGGTAAATGATTTTTAAAATGAAATGTAAAGAATACTTCATAGAAAATAATGTCATGGCAAGAATAAGTAACATGTAAATAATGATATATACACGTTTGTTACAGGGTATTCCTCACTAAACAATCCTTCAAATGACGTATTTATATACATTTTACTCAATTTTCAAATACATGACTAGGAATATTCGTAACGATCATCAATAAACGTCAATATTAAAACATTTTATATGTATACATAGACTGCTGTGTAAAATAGATATCTGTGCATGCGCTTGAATCGACGGAGTTCTTCCCGATAAGGATCCTTGTCCAAATGCATTCTGGCTTTTCGAATACACACGTACCTCCCCTTAATTTTGTTTTGGATATAATTCACATACATTTTGGCCAAGACACTTTAGTTGACCAGGAAGCTCAGTCGGTTAGAGTGACAGTTTAACAAACTCAGGTCCAGGGTTCAAATGCCGGTCTAGTTTCGCTGATTATTCTACTCTCGGAACACTACTGTTCGACACGATTTGTTTAAATAACTTCAATTAATAGATATTCATAACAGTCCGGCAAGGTATGGTTTTATTTTCAATAATTAATGAATCAATGACATAGCCAGGCCGGAAAAAACACTGTTTATAATGCGAAGTTATACTTTTGACAGAGGTACGGGTATCCTATAACAGTCCTAGAATTCAGCAATGCTACTACTAATATTATAGAAAAAAAGGGTGTTTGAAACTATAATAGAAACCCGACATTTTCTGGCATATTTTTACATGCCTCTGAATTGCCCAAAACATATATATATATATAATACTTTTTCATCTTTTTCCAAAAGAAAAGGTTTGCTTCCATTAAAATTAAATAGTGTAATCATGGACATATCATTATTGAATAATTTTGAAGTAATACGACTAGATATGACTATGTTCCTGTGTTAACAGTCAATGTAGATCCGAGCCTTCGGGCTAAGCTCAATTCCGAAGGCTTGGGACTACAGTGACTGCGAGTTATTTAAAACATACGTATTTTAAATCATATTATCCCTATTGATAATATAATAGTTTATACTCTGTAGATCTATAAGTCAACTTGCTGAAGTCTAGGAGTTTTCTTAGGAAAGACGACACATCGATTCAAACGCATGTTATTGGAATCGGATTGGCAAACATATGGAATGACTGAGAAACAATTTCATGACGACGGTTCCCTCTTTGGTTTATAAAGCATATTTACGTAACCGACATCCGCTTGAATGTTGAAAGACTCTGGTTTATGATTTAAAGGATGTAGTCCCGTCATGAATTTCTTGAAACCACTGGCGCTTAGTTGCTTATAGATATTTAATAATTTTGGATATTCCGATTTTTTAGGCCAATCGGGAAACAAGTGGTACTCCAAAGAAAACTGTTTGATCCTGGGTAAAAATCCACCCTGTATGAGATACTCAATTACAGCCCATTCGTGTCCCTCAACATCTATTTTCAAGACATCTATGTCCCGCTGAAAAGAAAACAAAAATACGTCAAGGTACTTTAAAATGTGTAGCCATTTTCAATAAGTTGATAGGTCTGATTAACACTCATCTAAAGGCAAAACAAACACACAGTTGTTCCGACGGTGAAGGTACAAGGTGATTGTCTCTATAAGTCCAATCCAATTAGAAAAACACATAGGCCAAACAAAAGGTGTTGTTTCCGGTTACCCTACCCCAAGTTTTCATTTGCTTACCCTGAACCATTTTTAGCAGTGATCAATGAAGCACTTCACTTCAAAAATCTAGATTACTCTCCTTAAAAACAATATATAGAAATAAAGAAAAATACTATATATTGTCTACCTACCTACCCATTTTATCAGACGTGTGACAGGAAACTGATATGTTTTTATCTTTGGCCTAATTGCGATTTTGAAATATTCTTGTTAACATTGCTTTGTTATTGACTCTGTGCTCCCTACCTGTTCTGCTCTATATTTACTTCGCCATCAGACGTGTACACATTTTCTGTGTCAAAGTGAGATACTATAGTTTTTCCATTAAGATCTCATCATTAGTCCATCTGGCGTGTTTACCTGTGAAGGGCATTGCTGGTACTTCAATAGTATCTTATCTAATGTTTGCTTACCCAAGTAGGACATGGCAAGTATACAAGGTTTGACTTAATACTTAGTCCACTCTATTTGGGTATAGCTGCTTTTGGAGAAACGGACATGCTTACCTTACAAGGCACTGTTGATATTTAGATTTACAACTGTAGTAGAGTAATGCCATGCTTACCGTACAAGGCACTGTTGATATTTAGATTTAAAACTGTAGTGGAGTAATGCCATGCTTACCTTACAAGGCACTATTGATATTTAGATTTACAGCTGTAGTTGAGTAATGACATGCTTATCGTACAAGGCACTGTTGATATTTAGATTTGCAGCTGTAGTGGAGTAATGCCATGCTTATCTTACAAGGCACTGTTGATATTTAGAGTTACAGCTGGAGTGGAGTAATGACATGCTTACCTTACAAGGCGCTGTTGATATTTAGATTTACAACTGTAGTGGAGGAATGCCATGCTTACCGTACAAGGCACTGTTGATATTTAGATTTACAACTGTAGTAGAGTAATGCCATGCTTACCGTACAAGGCACTGTTGATATTTAGATTTACATCTGTAGTGGAGTAATGACATGCTTATCTTACAAGGCGCTGTTGATATTTAGATTTACAACTGTAGTGGAGTAATGACATGCTTACCTTACAAGGCGCTGTTGATATTTAGATTTACAACTGTAGTGGAGTAATGACATGCTTATCTTACAAGGGACTGTTGATATTTAGATTTACAGCTGTATTGGAGTAATGACATGCTTACCGTACAAGGCACTGTTGATATTTAGATTTACATCTGTAGTGGAGTAATGACATGCTTATCTTACAAGGCACTGTTAATATTTAGATTTACAGCTGTAGTGGAGTAATGCCATGCTTATCTGACAAGGCACTGTTAATATTTAGATTTACAGCTGTAGTGGAGTAATGACATGCTTACCGTACACGGCACTGTTGATATTTAGATTTACAACTGTTGCGGATTAATGACATGCTTACCGTACAAGGCACTGTTGTTATTTAGATTTACAACTGTAGTGGAGTAATTACATGCTTATCTTACAAGGCACTGTTGATATTTAGAGTTACAGCTGGAGTGGAGTAATGACATGCTTACCTTACAAGGCGCTGTTGATATTTAGATTTACAACTGTAGTGGAGGAATGCCATGCTTACCGTACAAGGCACTGTTGATATTTAGATTTAAAACTGTAGTGGAGTAATGCCATGCTTACCTTACAAGGCACTGTTGATATTTAGATTTACAGCTGTAGTTGAGCAATGACATGCTTATCTTATAAGGCACTGTCAATATCAAGATTTACAGCTGTAGTGGAGTATAAGTAGACCCTCCTACTGATCAGTTTGCTGTGACCTGCTTCCCTTCCATATTCAAAACGTCAATATATCATAACAAGTAGTCACTTTACGAGTTAGGTATTTTGATATAAAAATAAGGATTATCTAAACACGTTATAACATGTACGAAATGTACAAGCTCTGTATGGCTGTGAAATTAAAATATTTTGTCCGTTATTGAGCCCAGGTGTGTTGGTACATTTCACAGGCGAAGGTTAGACTCCCGGAAATGGGAGCAATTCGTGTCGGAGCTGTGAATGGGGTCGTGACCTAAATATTCCGGTAACCCATCTTGTCTCATTATTAGCGAATAAGTGTTAAAACACAGGACATCTGTAAACATACCGTCTGGAAATGACGCAATGCAGATGACTGACCCTTTTATATTTTGAGAGAACAATCACGTACGAAATAACAAGGACATAAGAAGATTTCACGACACGACCAATGATGGGGCGCTTAGGCCTGCAAAATCTACTTTTCTATCCTCTTGATATGCTTAGGACAGATTTGATTTTTAAATTGTTCCTTTCCCTTTCTTATAACTTAATTATATGTGGTGACTTATGTTGTTTCTATCTATATAACTTAACTGAACTACGGAATCTTCACTGAAGTTAGTTGGAGATTTCCCCTCTTGAACTTTGGTTAACTTTGCCAATGTCGCAAATAGATGATCTATTGTTGTATTATCCATGTTGTGTATGTCCACATCTGTTGTCATAGAGAAACAGAAGTGATAGGATCAACAAACAACAGACACGTCTGTTATCAATCATACTTACATCCTTATGTCCTAAAGCCGCCATAATTGATCCTAACGTCATAATTGTCCAGGTCTGTTTTTCCCGTACATACATATCCTTTCGCGCGTCAAAGTTCTCAATGACCGTGCCACCTAGACCAATGTCATGGAAATGCACCGTAGAATTCCTGATATAGTCCTTTACTCCCATGCTGACAAAATAAAAGTGGACCTATTTATGATTTGGATCTGATGACAAACCTTATAGTAAAAGAAATCTGTAATGTTTCATATGTATTATTGACATATTATTTTGCCCCCCAGCATCACCGATTAGTCAAAGGACGAAACAGCTGTATGAGGCAGTGTAATGCTTTTTTAGCAAAATGTAGCTGTGTGTGTGTGTGTGTGTGTGTGTGTGTGTGTGTGTGTGTTATGTTACAGATTTGTTTAGAATGTTGATAATCAAATTCTAATGAATTTGAATTTAATGTTGCCTCCGATACCAAATCTTCAAAGATTTTATACAGCTTGAAAATATACATTCAAACATGCATTAACGACCGCTGTCTATAACAAATGTGGGCCAACGTCATATATGCACCACAATTAAGCATTGACCCATCGTTGACCCAACATAGTTTTATAGTTGGCACAACGTTGGCCCAACGTTGTATCCACATTAAGTAGTTGTTGCCCCAACGTTGATCCAACATGCTGGGCCAACATTGGGCCGATTTGCAAAAGGATGTGGGCCCAACGTCATTTCCAACGATGGCCCAACCAACCCTGATACATTGGGCCAACGTATGTCTGCTATCTGGGTATACAGTTATACTCTTGGTGGCACAAAGGAAAACAGATTTGTTTAGAATGTTGATAATCAAATTTTAATGAATTTGAATTTAGTATTGCCTCCGATACCAAATCTTCAAAGATTTTATACAGCCTGGAAATATACATTCAAACCTGCATTAACGACCGCTGTCTTTAACGACCATTTGAAATTGGTCCGAAATATTTTTACTTTAATGATACTGTTCATAGCGACCCCCTGTACAATGCTACCTTTAATCATAAAGACACGTACACGTGATTGCACCTGTACAATTAGGTAATAAGTACATTATGCAAACATGATTTGTAATTTATCATACAGCTGTTTCGTTCTGCCAGTACTCATGGTGGTGCTAACAGTAAAAAAGGTAGCAATCCAAATTGATCTAAATTACTGTTGAGACAGAAAGGTAGCACCAAAAACCCGTTTGTTTCATATATTGCAGTAAATAGCGGAGTTACTTGTAAATCTCATATTTTCGAAATACTTTTGTAAAGTATGTATATTATGTAATTCTCAAAAAGATCATTGTGGCCTGAAAAACATTCCAGGTGCATAAAACTTATTCCAATTATGTGAATTTCAAAAGGAAGTGGAATACTGATTCAATCTGAAATTGATAATTAGGAACGCGTGTAAATCATGCCCAGTGCCACTACTTAAAAGGTTACGGTAACTTCGGGGGATTAGAAATATCATAGTAGTGTACCATTAGGGATGAATAGTGTACATTTTTACATCAAAGTTAGGTCAGATCTTTTAACCTACTGACACGCTAATAGAAATGTGGCTACGTAACGAACGATTACTAAAGTCAATTTTTGTGTCAGTTATAGATAACAATGGTAAATCTAGTACGACGTGAAGATTCCTGAACACACCTGGGGTCAAATGAGTGCACTTCACAACCTTGATAGGCCATAGCGTCGTCGAATGAAAAATCATTCCCAATCCTGAAAAGAATAGCACAGGAAAATATTATAATTATGGCGTAGGTAGAAATATAAGAAGTGATCCAGCGGGAACTATTTATAAATTGTTTGCATGATGGCACCACCTGTGACTTTCAGTCCGGGCACGATTAAGCATGATCTACTCAAAATTAAACCTATAGTGTATTTAGATATTCACCTTTATCTACTACAGTAATAATTCTGTCCTTAGAACGAATCATTTCGATTTATGTAGAAGGTCATATACATTTATCAGTGAGCAGATACAATTTTATTTTGTTATCACATATAGGAGTTTTGAGAGGCAAAATGACGAGAGACATTCCTAAAGTGCATAAATACAATCTTTTATTACAAATAAATCCTGCTTATCCGAAGAAATCATTGAGACATGGATAAAAACGTGACGGGAAAGAAAATGCTTACCCGAAGGAGTATACGAGGCAGGGGTCGTCTGGGAAGAACTTTCCGTCCAAACACACATACCAGTTACCCATCATACTGGAATTTTGACATAGGTATTCTCTCGGTCTCCGACGAAAGTCACTGAAAATGGCCAAAAAAGTCCAAATGTATGTGTTCTTCTAAAGATTTGATATTTACAAGAGAACTCTGCCCCTTAGCATCAGGGGATACACTACTCTTCCGTTATATAAAACATATGTTTCCCTCTTCCCAATCATGCTTCATAGAAAGCTGAGCCAACTGTATTAGTTAGTTTAAACTGAATTTATGTGTGGCAATATACCATACATGTTAGATACCAACCTAATCAGCAACGATTCGGAAACAAGCACTTCTTTGAAGGTCACGCAAAACAATGCTTTTTTAATTAGTTTTAATAATTTGGAGGACAAACGAATGACTGAACAGTAATCACTAGTAAAAGCCCCTAACGCCAGCATACTTCATAACCAATATCATGATATTAGCCTCTTGGGCATACAGAAAAATTGGCTGAAAGATTGTTTGCACATTTGACCCTTGTGTCCTGTAAAGTGACGAAGGCAACTAAATAACCTTTTACTCTAAAAGAAGTAAGACAATTTTGAACTACACCTTACCAGACCGAAGGTCTCGATATCAGCCCCGGGCTTCTCCTATATCGGACTCAATTGGAGTAGTGTGTTACGAGGAACTGATCACACAGTGGAAATCATAATTCGTTTCAGGGAGCGCTAAAAATTACCAAGTATGTGGACACACTAATATTTAGTGTAAACAAATGATGAAAATTCAGGGATTTATCCGTTTAGCACTACTGTTTGACGAACCTCACTGATATTGCTTGACATGCTAGAGATAATATGACTGGGTCAAACCTATGAATGCTATCGGGTCGCCTTTATCGTAATACATACAGGTGATAGCTTTTAGAGAAGGCACGATCGGAAACAGGGGACACGTTTGATAAATCGAACTACTTAACCGAACACCTGCAGTAATGCCAAAACGTATACACAAGACGTGATACTTATTACTTAACACGTCCAATATCGGTAAAACTTCAGTTAACAGTGAAACAGTTTTGTAGAGTTCTAATTTACTTCGTTTCAAGCGAAAACAATTATTCTTTCATCAAAACCTCAACAACCGTGTACGAGTGATGCCAACATTCAAAGTGGTCCCTACAGATAGGACCTAACGGGATATGATAACGAATTTCTGTATAAGCGAGGCACTTGTATCTCATTTCAAAGACATCACTCGTGTAGGACTCTTTCTTCCTATTTATAAGAAGTACGTCTATAATTCCTAAGAACTAAGTCTATAAAACGTTTAATGTTAATGTAGTCGTCTGACGGTTTGAAACGGAATGGCTTATCTCTATGTGATATGTGATGTCAGTAACGTGTCATTTTGATCGGAGGAAGAATACATTTTCATCAAAAGAATTTCTTGTATTTAATATGGAGTTGTTACTGATGGAAGTAAACTGTAATATTATAACCTTTACTTTCCTATTGAAAACTGATCCAAATAAATCCTTAAACCTACTTTGTTATTGTAGCGTTAGCAAGGTCAGAGTTGGGTATTACTTATAAAATCTGGTTAAGAAGAGTGAGAAAAATGGTCAATTAGTATGAAGTGGGTATCGAAATACTGAAATGCTACTCCCAGTAAGTCACATACTGACCTAAAATGCTACGACGGGTAGAATTAGCAGTCAACCCCAAAAAACAATCTATAGAAGTTAATCCTAATTAAAGGCATCTACACATACTTACAGTTCCCAGACCATTACAATTTATACTTCTTTAAATGTATCTATACATTCTAACATTTCTAGGAACGTTTACTAATTTAATTTAAGGTATCTACACACACTTACAGTTCCTAAAACGTTAATTATATTTAATGGCAAGTATCTAGATATGCTAACAGTTCTAGGAACGTTAATTATACTTCTTTAAATGTATCTATACATTCTAACAGTTCTAGGAACTTTATTATATTTAATTTAAGGTATCTACACACACTTACAGTTCCTAAAACGTTAATTATACTTCTTTAAATGTATCAATACATTCTGACAGTTCTAGGAACGTTAAATATACTTAATGTAAGGTATCTACACACACTTACAGTTCCAGGAACGTTAATTATACTTACTTCAATGTATCTTCACATGCTTAGAATTCTAGGAACGTTAATTATATTCTTTGAAGGTATCTACACATACTTACAGTTCCAGGAACGTTAATTGTTCTTAATTTAAGGTATCTACATATGCTTACAGTTCTATGAACGTTAATTATACTTGATTTAAGGTATCTACACATACTTACAGTTCCTTCCCAGAACGTGAAGTATACATAGTTAAAGATATCTACACATACTTACAGTCCCAGAACGTGAAGTATACATGGTTGAAGGTATCTACACATACTTACAGTCCCAGAACGTGAAGTATACATAGTTAAAGATATCTACACATACTTACAGTCCCAGAACGTGAAGTATACATAGTTAAAGATATCTACACATACTTACAGTCCCAGAACGTGAAGTATACATAGTTAAAGATATCTACACATACTTACAGTCCCAGAACGTGAAGTATACATAGTTAAAGATATCTACACATACTTACAGTCCCAGAACGTGAAGTATACATAGTTAAAGATATCTACACATACTTACAGTCCCAGAACGTGAAGTATACATAGTTAAAGATATCTACACATACTTACAGTCCCAGAACGTGAAGTATACATAGTTAAAGATATCTACACATACTTACAGTCCCAGAACGTGAAGTATACATAGTTAAAGATATCTACACATACTTACAGTCCCAGAACGTGAAGTATACATAGTTAAAGATATCTACACATACTTACAGTCCCAGAACGTGAAGTATACATAGTTAAAGATATCTACACATACTTACAGTCCCAGAACGTGAAGTATACATAGTTAAAGATATCTACACATACTTACAGTCCCAGAACGTGAAGTATACATAGTTAAAGATATCTACACATACTTACAGTCCCAGAACGTGAAGTATACATAGTTAAAGATATCTACACATACTTACAGTCCCAGAACGTGAAGTATACATAGTTAAAGATATCTACACATACTTACAGTCCCAGAACGTGAAGTATACATAGTTAAAGATATCTACACATACTTACAGTCCCAGAACGTGAAGTATACATAGTTAAAGATATCTACACATACTTACAGTCCCAGAACGTGAAGTATACATAGTTAAAGATATCTACACATACTTACAGTCCCAGAACGTGAAGTATACATAGTTAAAGATATCTACACATACTTACAGTCCCAGAACGTGAAGTATACATAGTTAAAGATATCTACACATACTTACAGTCCCAGAACGTGAAGTATACATAGTTAAAGATATCTACACATACTTACAGTCCCAGAACGTGAAGTATACATAGTTAAAGATATCTACACATACTTACAGTCCCAGAACGTGAAGTATACATAGTTAAAGATATCTACACATACTTACAGTCCCAGAACGTGAAGTATACATAGTTAAAGATATCTACACATACTTACAGTCCCAGAACGTGAAGTATACATAGTTAAAGATATCTACACATACTTACAGTCCCAGAACGTGAAGTATACATAGTTAAAGATATCTACACATACTTACAGTCCCAGAACGTGAAGTATACATAGTTAAAGATATCTACACATACTTACAGTCCCAGAACGTGAAGTATACATAGTTAAAGATATCTACACATACTTACAGTCCCAGAACGTGAAGTATACATAGTTAAAGATATCTACACATACTTACAGTCCCAGAACGTGAAGTATACATAGTTAAAGATATCTACACATACTTACAGTCCCAGAACGTGAAGTATACATAGTTAAAGATATCTACACATACTTACAGTCCCAGAACGTGAAGTATACATAGTTAAAGATATCTACACATACTTACAGTCCCAGAACGTGAAGTATACATAGTTAAAGATATCTACACATACTTACAGTCCCAGAACGTGAAGTATACATAGTTAAAGATATCTACACATACTTACAGTCCCAGAACGTGAAGTATACATAGTTAAAGATATCTACACATACTTACAGTCCCAGAACGTGAAGTATACATAGTTAAAGATATCTACACATACTTACAGTCCCAGAACGTGAAGTATACATAGTTAAAGATATCTACACATACTTACAGTCCCAGAACGTGAAGTATACATAGTTAAAGATATCTACACATACTTACAGTCCCAGAACGTGAAGTATACATAGTTAAAGATATCTACACATACTTACAGTCCCAGAACGTGAAGTATACATAGTTAAAGATATCTACACATACTTACAGTCCCAGAACGTGAAGTATACATAGTTAAAGATATCTACACATACTTACAGTCCCAGAACGTGAAGTATACATAGTTAAAGATATCTACACATACTTACAGTCCCAGAACGTGAAGTATACATAGTTAAAGATATCTACACATACTTACAGTCCCAGAACGTGAAGTATACATAGTTAAAGATATCTACACATACTTACAGTCCCAGAACGTGAAGTATACATAGTTAAAGATATCTACACATACTTACAGTCCCAGAACGTGAAGTATACATAGTTAAAGATATCTACACATACTTACAGTCCCAGAACGTGAAGTATACATAGTTAAAGATATCTACACATACTTACAGTCCCAGAACGTGAAGTATACATAGTTAAAGATATCTACACATACTTACAGTCCCAGAACGTGAAGTATACATAGTTAAAGATATCTACACATACTTACAGTCCCAGAACGTGAAGTATACATAGTTAAAGATATCTACACATACTTACAGTCCCAGAACGTGAAGTATACATAGTTAAAGATATCTACACATACTTACAGTCCCAGAACGTGAAGTATACATAGTTAAAGATATCTACACATACTTACAGTCCCAGAACGTGAAGTATACATAGTTAAAGATATCTACACATACTTACAGTCCCAGAACGTGAAGTATACATAGTTAAAGATATCTACACATACTTACAGTCCCAGAACGTGAAGTATACATAGTTAAAGATATCTACACATACTTACAGTCCCAGAACGTGAAGTATACATAGTTAAAGATATCTACACATACTTACAGTCCCAGAACGTGAAGTATACATAGTTAAAGATATCTACACATACTTACAGTCCCAGAACGTGAAGTATACATAGTTAAAGATATCTACACATACTTACAGTCCCAGAACGTGAAGTATACATAGTTAAAGATATCTACACATACTTACAGTCCCAGAACGTGAAGTATACATAGTTAAAGATATCTACACATACTTACAGTCCCAGAACGTGAAGTATACATAGTTAAAGATATCTACACATACTTACAGTCCCAGAACGTGAAGTATACATAGTTAAAGATATCTACACATACTTACAGTCCCAGAACGTGAAGTATACATAGTTAAAGATATCTACACATACTTACAGTCCCAGAACGTGAAGTATACATAGTTAAAGATATCTACACATACTTACAGTCCCAGAACGTGAAGTATACATAGTTAAAGATATCTACACATACTTACAGTCCCAGAACGTGAAGTATACATAGTTAAAGATATCTACACATACTTACAGTCCCAGAACGTGAAGTATACATAGTTAAAGATATCTACACATACTTACAGTCCCAGAACGTGAAGTATACATAGTTAAAGATATCTACACATACTTACAGTCCCAGAACGTGAAGTATACATAGTTAAAGATATCTACACATACTTACAGTCCCAGAACGTGAAGTATACATAGTTAAAGATATCTACACATACTTACAGTCCCAGAACGTGAAGTATACATAGTTAAAGATATCTACACATACTTACAGTCCCAGAACGTGAAGTATACATAGTTAAAGATATCTACACATACTTACAGTCCCAGAACGTGAAGTATACATAGTTAAAGATATCTACACATACTTACAGTCCCAGAACGTGAAGTATACATAGTTAAAGATATCTACACATACTTACAGTCCCAGAACGTGAAGTATACATAGTTAAAGATATCTACACATACTTACAGTCCCAGAACGTGAAGTATACATAGTTAAAGATATCTACACATACTTACAGTCCCAGAACGTGAAGTATACATAGTTAAAGATATCTACACATACTTACAGTCCCAGAACGTGAAGTATACATAGTTAAAGATATCTACACATACTTACAGTCCCAGAACGTGAAGTATACATAGTTAAAGATATCTACACATACTTACAGTCCCAGAACGTGAAGTATACATAGTTAAAGATATCTACACATACTTACAGTCCCAGAACGTGAAGTATACATAGTTAAAGATATCTACACATACTTACAGTCCCAGAACGTGAAGTATACATAGTTAAAGATATCTACACATACTTACAGTCCCAGAACGTGAAGTATACATAGTTAAAGATATCTACACATACTTACAGTCCCAGAACGTGAAGTATACATAGTTAAAGATATCTACACATACTTACAGTCCCAGAACGTGAAGTATACATAGTTAAAGATATCTACACATACTTACAGTCCCAGAACGTGAAGTATACATAGTTAAAGATATCTACACATACTTACAGTCCCAGAACGTGAAGTATACATAGTTAAAGATATCTACACATACTTACAGTCCCAGAACGTGAAGTATACATAGTTAAAGATATCTACACATACTTACAGTCCCAGAACGTGAAGTATACATAGTTAAAGATATCTACACATACTTACAGTCCCAGAACGTGAAGTATACATAGTTAAAGATATCTACACATACTTACAGTCCCAGAACGTGAAGTATACATAGTTAAAGATATCTACACATACTTACAGTCCCAGAACGTGAAGTATACATAGTTAAAGATATCTACACATACTTACAGTCCCAGAACGTGAAGTATACATAGTTAAAGATATCTACACATACTTACAGTCCCAGAACGTGAAGTATACATAGTTAAAGATATCTACACATACTTACAGTCCCAGAACGTGAAGTATACATAGTTAAAGATATCTACACATACTTACAGTCCCAGAACGTGAAGTATACATAGTTAAAGATATCTACACATACTTACAGTCCCAGAACGTGAAGTATACATAGTTAAAGATATCTACACATACTTACAGTCCCAGAACGTGAAGTATACATAGTTAAAGATATCTACACATACTTACAGTCCCAGAACGTGAAGTATACATAGTTAAAGATATCTACACATACTTACAGTCCCAGAACGTGAAGTATACATAGTTAAAGATATCTACACATACTTACAGTCCCAGAACGTGAAGTATACATAGTTAAAGATATCTACACATACTTACAGTCCCAGAACGTGAAGTATACATAGTTAAAGATATCTACACATACTTACAGTCCCAGAACGTGAAGTATACATAGTTAAAGATATCTACACATACTTACAGTCCCAGAACGTGAAGTATACATAGTTAAAGATATCTACACATACTTACAGTCCCAGAACGTGAAGTATACATAGTTAAAGATATCTACACATACTTACAGTCCCAGAACGTGAAGTATACATAGTTAAAGATATCTACACATACTTACAGTCCCAGAACGTGAAGTATACATAGTTAAAGATATCTACACATACTTACAGTCCCAGAACGTGAAGTATACATAGTTAAAGATATCTACACATACTTACAGTCCCAGAACGTGAAGTATACATAGTTAAAGATATCTACACATACTTACAGTCCCAGAACGTGAAGTATACATAGTTAAAGATATCTACACATACTTACAGTCCCAGAACGTGAAGTATACATAGTTAAAGATATCTACACATACTTACAGTCCCAGAACGTGAAGTATACATAGTTAAAGATATCTACACATACTTACAGTCCCAGAACGTGAAGTATACATAGTTAAAGATATCTACACATACTTACAGTCCCAGAACGTGAAGTATACATAGTTAAAGATATCTACACATACTTACAGTCCCAGAACGTGAAGTATACATAGTTAAAGATATCTACACATACTTACAGTCCCAGAACGTGAAGTATACATAGTTAAAGATATCTACACATACTTACAGTCCCAGAACGTGAAGTATACATAGTTAAAGATATCTACACATACTTACAGTCCCAGAACGTGAAGTATACATAGTTAAAGATATCTACACATACTTACAGTCCCAGAACGTGAAGTATACATAGTTAAAGATATCTACACATACTTACAGTCCCAGAACGTGAAGTATACATAGTTAAAGATATCTACACATACTTACAGTCCCAGAACGTGAAGTATACATAGTTAAAGATATCTACACATACTTACAGTCCCAGAACGTGAAGTATACATAGTTAAAGATATCTACACATACTTACAGTCCCAGAACGTGAAGTATACATAGTTAAAGATATCTACACATACTTACAGTCCCAGAACGTGAAGTATACATAGTTAAAGATATCTACACATACTTACAGTCCCAGAACGTGAAGTATACATAGTTAAAGATATCTACACATACTTACAGTCCCAGAACGTGAAGTATACATAGTTAAAGATATCTACACATACTTACAGTCCCAGAACGTGAAGTATACATAGTTAAAGATATCTACACATACTTACAGTCCCAGAACGTGAAGTATACATAGTTAAAGATATCTACACATACTTACAGTCCCAGAACGTGAAGTATACATAGTTAAAGATATCTACACATACTTACAGTCCCAGAACGTGAAGTATACATAGTTAAAGATATCTACACATACTTACAGTCCCAGAACGTGAAGTATACATAGTTAAAGATATCTACACATACTTACAGTCCCAGAACGTGACGTATACATAGTAAAAGATATCTACACATACTTACAGTCCCAGAACGTGAAGTATATATAATTAAAGATATCTACACATATTTACAGTCCCAGAACGTGAAGTATACATAATTAAAGGTATCTACACATACCTACAGTTCCCAGAACGTGACGTATACATAGTTAAAGGTATCTACACATACTTACAGTTCCCAGAACGTGACGTATACATAGATACAGGTATCTACACATACATGTACTTAAAGTTCCCAGAACGTCAATTATACTTAATTTAAGGTATCTACACATGTTTAAAGTTCCCAGAACGTTAAGTATACTTAATTAATGTATCTAGACATGCTTACAGTTCTAGGAACGAAGCTGCGGTGAACCAATCAGTCTGGACGACAGACCGGTTCAAATCGTAAGTAGGGCGATTCTCATTCCAGTCACTAGCGTGGACCGGCACAACTGGTACAGATGTCGGCTTTGTCCTACTTTCGGAATTATTCGCTGCAAGAGGAGCCAAACTGTTAATAAATATGTCTTTGTTTTCTGACGGACAGACAATTATATCTGAAAAGAACAAGAAATAGATTCGTAAATAATAACCAGGGTTTTATATCTGACAAAATGAACGCCTAGGAATAATATATGACATTGTTTAGAGACACTTTCTTTGTATTCAAAAGGGAAGGAGAGAAATTCCTCATGCATTCCAGAAGGTTGTTGCCTAATTTAGACAAAAGAAGATTTTTAGGCTATCTTTAGTGAATGACAAAGAAATCCAAACCCTGAGATATCATGCTGGTATGTCCAAACAAGAGCCTACCAAGGATGCGTTTTTCAATGTAGGGTTACGTTTGTTTTGTCAAATCCTAAAGAAAGGAAATAAGCAGTTTTCTTTAATCTTCTTACTCGGTTAAAAAATCTAGAATCCGTCTTTTATCATAACACAAAGTTCTATGTGGCGTTTGAATGTCACTCATCTCAGGAACTTTTCATATGCATTTCTTTATGCAATAAAATATAGTTCCAATATTGCTACGAAAGATTCTTGCTTTTGACTTAAAAAGTAGACCTTAATCCAAAAAAAAGTCTTCAAATTGGTTGGGTTGATGGAGAAGGCATTCAAGGCCACAATGGTACCTCTTGAAGAAAATGAACACTCATGGCAGTAGAGTACAATTTTTTACGACTTACCTTTACCATACCAAATGTTATACTTACCTGTACCAAATGTAATTATCCTAACCTGTACTAGGTGTTATTGAACTTACCTGTACTTACGCTTACCTGTAATAGGGGTTATTGTACTTGCAAAAAGTACTTGTACTACTAGGTTTAAGTTTATTTACATGTACCCTAGGTTTAATTGTACTCACCTGTACTAGGAGTGAGGGAGAACTGTCCTACATACAATACAAAGTACAGCATCACCATGGAGAAGCATGCTGCCAGTGCAATTTTACCAATTGCGTTCATTGTCATCCCCACTATAACGAAAAATAGTGAAAAATAAATGTTACTTTAATGCAATATTACCTCACATCCTATATTTAAAAAGAGCTGAGTTTGAACATTTCGTTAAGCAATTGGGTCAATTATATGTATGTCCTGATGGCAGTGACCAGTACAATGGGCCCTGTTGTATCCCAATCAGAAACTTGCCTGTACGAGTCAGTGCTATGATTGCATGAGACAATCTTAAGAACATTCACACTTATTAAATAGCCAGGTATAACTTAATGATTACTATCCCCATCAAAACAAAACAATGGTTAAAGAGTAGACACACTGCATGCAAATTGTTGTTTTCTGGTTCAATTGCTTCAATAATCTACTCAAAAACTTTTGAATCCAGTACGAGGAGAACTATCTCATTTGCATATTACATAGTTATCAGTTTAGCAGACATGCACTGTTTGTGCATTGATGAAATAGTCAATTGCAATGAACTGCTTTCCAAACCATGCCACGTTCTTTAAGCATGAATAAAGCAAAAACGAAAGTTGCTCAAACAGCAATCATCGGGTAAAATAGTGTGTGATTTAATACCAATCATATGCAAGCAAGTATGATGTTCAACAGTAATATTATATACAGGTATGAAATGCTTCTGTCACAGCGCCTTTTCATTGGTAATTATCATTAAGAGGATTAATCACTTTATCTATTATAACAATTTATCAAAAGAAATGCCATGTCATTAATGGCACCTAGTAGTATATAAATGCATAGTGGGTGTTAAGTCATAAAGCGGTGATGAACACAAAAGCAAATAGCTGACGTTTAAGACTGAATGTGAATAGATTAAGCAATCAATCCAATGCTCATAGCTGTACCCTAGGCGCTAAATATATCTGGGTGGGGGAGGGGTCTGTTGAGAAAAAAATATTATTTTTTACAAATGTTGAATTTTGTAAGTGTATGTAATCTACTGTGATAAATACGTGTGTGGGAATTTCTCCCATTATCCAGTTGACATAGCATGGAAATACAAACGTGACAAGAGTGACATGAAGAACCAACATCCGTTGTCGAGGCTTAAGATAGTTCCGTCAGAACATGGTAGCCGTTCTCCAAATTTTGCATTGTTTATACATATACTTTCCTTAGGAAATCGAGCAAACAATATTTAATGTTTACTTTATTCATCATCCCAGTATTAAGTTTTAGCAATAGTATAACCACCATTTACATTTAAATCATGGTACAAGTGTAGTATCAACGGATTGGAAAACAAGCTACAAGCTTTTGCTTATTTCTCGTCTCTAAAAGGATTGGTCATGTGACATAAAAAAATATATAAAAACAAATGCTATTTAACAAATGACTTTCTCGTTTATTTTAATTCAAAGATATTTTTAATATTGGTTGTTGCTTGAGTAGTATTTTTATCTTCATATGTGTGACGCCATCTTCAAAAAAAAAGTTTCTATTTTTTTTAACTTTTTTAACCAGAAACAAGAAAGAACTTAAGTACCAAAATCGCCATAATGAAAGATTTGAGTTAAAGTACATCATTTTATTCCTCAAAACTAAAAACTAAACCATTTGATACGGCCCCAACACTCGATTCAGGGCCAGTGCCTTATGTTGAAGAGTATCTCTTAATATCACGTCATAATATACTGCAGACGGACCACCAGGCTTTTGTCAACTTACCTAGCTGATAAATCCATAACGTTTCTAACAGTTTGTATTCTCTTGTGATAACCTTTTTATGTAACTTTATCGCCGGTTTTGTTTGGTAAAAGATAAGAAAACTCAAACATTGAGAAACATTTGTTTAAAGAAACGAAATACCCCGTAACCTTTAAAACCTTTCTGCTTCACCGTCAGTCAAATCCTTTCTACCAAGTACACAATGAATCTTTGAACTGCCGTATCAGTACCGAACATTCTACAGGCTTGGTTAATTGTCCCGTATATCACCATTGAAGTAAATTCATAGGTTAATGTTTTAGTATGGCAATGCTGATAGAAATGCCTACACCACTGACGCAATCATGATTTCGAGAAAGTTCTTCAGATTTACACTCTGAAGCGATAGGATCATATCAAAAAGTAAACAACAAAAAGAGGAAAAAACAACAGCAGAGCTAACAGAGTAGCACGTAACTTATTTGTTTCTAATGGTTATGATCTTGAAACACTCGCGTTGCTAGTGCAATCATGAATTCGAGGTTCTTGAGATAAAGCTCTTAAGCGACATCGGGCTTTTAAAAAAGCAAATAACAAAAAATGAAAAAAACAGGTTCTTACGATTTATGATATGGATTTAAAACGCGTGTATACAGTTGAATTATAACCCACTTTACGGACGCTGTTTCCTTAAACATATGTCCGTCATCGTAACTCCTTCGTAAGGTCTTTGTAAGGGGATCTATCCGTACGTTTATCCAATGGATTGATGGTCACGTAAAAGCAGTAAATACATCTTGTTGATATTTTGATTGAAACTCCATACGGCTGTGTTTGTCAATGTTATTTTGGAGTGAGGTTGGTATTTGACTTGTTGACTAGAATAGTAAAAAAGGGGAAAACCTTTAAAGAGAGAGGTGTCTTCCTGGAACCTTAAAGTTCAAAATGAAATTTACAAAACTCGTAACACTCTGATGCCATGAAAAAGAACTGTCATGCACTTCTTGAGGAACAGTAATAAACAAATTTAACTGTCAAAATCGAAGAGTACCACCTGGTGAACATTTTGAATTTTCTTATCAGCCTCAAAAGGAAACATACACAACATAGAATCCAAGAGTATAAAAGGAACCTGCCACAATATGCGACCACAATGACGGGTTAAAGCCGTATGATAAACATAATTATCCCTTTCTTGAGAGTAACATCCATACATCTTGGAAGTTACTTCGAAAATCACGGGTTTGTCAGGAATATCACCACTTCTGTAATAGATGTTGAAACTGGCGGACAAACTCACCAAACAGGGATAAAAGAGATGCAAGTTGTTACGGGTGAATTCCAATGTCTCTATCATTATCACATTTGGAAATATTTAATCTATATCAAACATTTTTGAGTATGCTTATTAGCTTGGCTTGAGGTTACGTTGTCACTACGTATACCATGGCTCTCAGTCTGGGAGCATGCAATTACCTGGATTTATATTGCAAGTTCTATCAAAGGACGATTACCCTTCAGGAACATCTGCTATTGGTCTAATTGTAATGGTTTCGTGAAAAGTGTTTGAATTTTCTCTAGCTTAATTGATTTTAATTAGAATTGCGTTTCTTTATCACACTCTGGTATTCGTTATTAATCATCGGTTTAAAATAACGTTGTTCAGCTGGTTAGGAGATATCAATGGTGTAAGCCCCTCGACATGTGGTGTCGCCCGAGGCTTGGGCGATAACTCATGTCGTCCGGGTGACAAAACTGTTACACTACTTAAAGCCAGAGTTACACTAGAACAGAATGTATAAGGACATGCTGTAATAACCGACTAGTGCGCTCGGCATTTATATTTTCTGATTAAATTTATTACACGAGGTTTTATTTTTATCAAAACATTTCAATATCTCTCTGTGAGGATATAGGTAAATAACATTTGTTATTTTAAAAAATAGCAACGTCAAAATTACGACAATGCTTTTTTTTACTTCCTGTTGTAATATATTACTTTGTCGTATTACAATACCTACATGTAAATCTATACTGTACAGAACGTCCAGCAATGTAAAACACGGGGGTTGAACGGTAAGTTTTATTTCAAATTGTCAACAAGGATGACAATCTCAAACAAAATATACTAAATCCGTACATCAACATTCTAAAAATGCTGCTTTCAGTAATAGCAATAAAACGTTCAGTTTATCAGGATGGCTGATTGTTGTGTAGTACAATAACTTGTGTATATACAACAATAAAATAGCTGTACCGTTGATAAGCCCAGCACACGTGTCGGTTTCCCTTTGTTACTGCATTAAGTGACCCGCATGTTATACAATAAGGGCTGTGTAAATAATGAGATAACAATAACCACACATATTAACTCATTTATCCCTGAAGACATTTGAACTCCTCCAATCAAAAGGTTGGAATAATTCATTATGAAATTTCAGGAGTGAATGGGTTAAACAAATGACGTCTTTCTTAACAGGAAGACAATGAGGCAATCTTGTTCAGGATTGTGATGCAGTTTCTCAATGTGTATGATGGAATCAAACTATTTTGTTAAAAAAACAAGAGGCCCAATGGGCCTGCATCGCTCACCTGGTATTAATCTCACACTTGTAATCTTAAAAGTGGACTAAAATACAGCTAGAGGCAGAATAACAGTGTTTGATTCTTAAGAATCTATTAAAAGATTTAAACATATGACGCCTGTGACCTTGAATGTCATACAAGGACATTAGGTTGAACAGAGTTTATAGTCTCCCAACCCAACATGATTCTGGGAAAAGATCATAACCTTGGACCTTTTGTTTATACAGAGCAAATCATTTAAAGATTTAAACATATATTGACCACTGTGACCTTGAATATGGGCAAAGGTCATTCATTTGGTAGTCCTTCATCCCAGCATGTAAATGGTCAAATAGCATCACCCTTGGCCTTGCTACAGGCCCAATATCACCCTTGGTTTTTAACATATTTGACCCATGTGACCTTGAATATATGTCAAGGTCATTCATTTAAACAAACTTGGTAGCCCTGCATCCGAGCATGTTACTGGCAAAATGCATCACCTTATACCTCTTGGTTATTCAGGAAAAGTTGTTATAAGGTTTTTTCATTTGGACGAACTCGGTAGTCCTTTATTCCAGCATGCTACTGGTCAAATATAATCATCATCCTAGGCATTTTGGTTATTCAGAAGAAGTTATATTACAGGTTTTTAACATATTTGACCCTATGACCTTGAATATGAGTCAATGTCATTCATTTGAACAAACAACTTGGTAGCCCTTTATCCCAGCATGCTAAAGGCCAATATCAGTACCCTGGACCTTTTGGTTATTGAGAAGAAGTCGTTTGAAGATTTTAACACATTTGACTCCTGTGACCTTGAAATATGGTCAAAGTTATACGTATGAACAAACTTATTAGCCCTTCATCCTAGCATGTTACAGGCCCAATATCAGTACCCTGGGCTTTTTGGTTATTGAGAAGAAGTCGTTTGATGATTTTACGAAATTTAACCCATGTGACCTTGAAAGCAGGTCAAGGTCATTCATTTGTACAAACTTGGTATCCCTTCATCCCAACATGCTACAGGCCCAATATCAGTACACTGGGCCGTTTGGTTATTGAGAAGTCGTTTGAAGATTTTACGAAATTTGACCTCTGTGACCTTGAAAGTAGGTCAAGGTCATTCATTTGTACAAACTTGGTAGCCCTTCATCCCAGCATGCTACATGCCCAATATCAGTACCCTGGGGCTTTTGGTTATTGAGAAGAAATTGAGCCAGGTGAGCTAAATATACGAAAATGACCTTCCTGACAAATACGTTTGTATGTAACAAACCATTATTAATGTTCTGATTGCGCAATTCAAACCTCATATCTGTGTTTTTAAAGAAAAAACGAAAAGAGAAAACTTAAGTGTTTAAAACAACATAATTCGAACTCAAAATCGATGAAATAATGGAAATATAATGTCATAAGTTTGGACGGATTTTCTAGGTCAAGAACTACGGCTTCTGTCTCGCCGCCACTAAACCATCCAAACGCGGACCTAGATGCAGCTTAGGTAGTACATCTTAACCCATGCAACACATGCAGCCAACCTTTCATGGTATATTGACTTTGTCAAAATCTCCATCAATATTAAGTTTTTGGGTTTAAGTTTGTTTCTCTGAAACTATAAGTGCTACACCAACTAAACTTGCACCATAGATGCATCTTAGGTAGTTCATCTCGACCCATGCATCAAATGCTGGATTCGGTCTACCTTTCATGGTCCCGTGACTGTCACCATATCCATCAACATTAAGTTTTTGCGTTTAAGTTAGTTTCTCTGAAACTGTACAAATGTAAGTGCTACACCATCCAAACTTGACATGTGGATTGATGGTCAAAGCAAAGCACAGGCGAAACATATCAATCCGAATGGCTTGTTATTCTTATATGGTCAATCTCCCGAAGGTCATTCAAAAATCATTCGGGATGGCAGGTCAAAATTCCAATTTGACGGAAAGACACAATGGGCCCCTAAAAGTTTGGAGTAAGGAATCTCGTTTGTATTCTATCATAACAACACTTTGAGTTGACATGCTCGTATCTACACCGAAAATAAACAACTTCCAAATATGACAAACCGTTTCAGGTTTAACGTTTACTTGGTTAAGACATGCAAACTTAAACACGTCCGTTCAGATCTATAGAGTATTGATTTAAGCATGTACCCCATTTCCCCTATCGGACAACGATTTGCACTCCACACGGCGTTACACTATTCACCTAAGAATAATTGCCATGATTCATACCAAATGAATTACAATTCACAAATCGAAGATGGTTCCCATTTCAAGACTGCTGTAGTAGGCAACAGAAACAAGTTAAATGTGAAACATTTAAAAATTGAATGTAAAATGTATAATTTGTTCAAGGTGTTTGAAAGCAGCACATTGGCCGATTGTGCTTGTAAATTCATGCTTTTAGTCACAAATAAAAGACATTGGCACCTTTCTAAGATGGTTGCCACTCTTAAGATTGCCGAAATTAGAAACAAAAGTATTTAAGAAAAACATAATTTATTACAATCAGTGACACTTTAGTTTTAAATACGTCTATATAAATATTTGGAGGAAGGGGAACGGTTAAAATATATTCATTTTGTGAAGGGCCTGCAAAACATGACGTAATATGTTTGTGTTACTAAACACGAAATCTACGTGAACATTTACAGTGGACGGGATCGCCATTTACCAATCACCTAGTAACTACAGACGCTGTCACGTTTGGGACAGAGACTCGGTCTCACAAAATGTCCTTATTGTGAGAAAATTCTCATTTCTCGAAATCAGATCTTGAGCAACTGTGAATCGTCATAATATGAATAATTAATATGCAATATTGCATTACAATTCAACAACTTGATTTAATTGTCTTGTCTACTTAAGTTCTTTTCGATTATGCAAATTCCAAAGTCAAAGGATGACGTCATAAGACATGTGAGTTGTATTACTAGATGTTTTGTGCTATCATATATATTGACATAACCAAATCAAGCATTATTGATAGGTTAAGAATGTCCGACGTAGTTGGTAGCGTCTGATAACCATAACTAAGACTTAAGGTTCCTCGTACCATTGACAAAAACTGTAACAATGGATTGAAGACCTTGTCTAATGGCATGATATCAGCTTTAACCATTTGTTTTCTAACATACCTTTATTATTATGAGAACTTCTTTTTACACAATCAATAAAATTGTCTATGTGACGTTTCGATGACTAGTACGATACGCACACTGTCATAAGACAAATGACCAATGAAGCGTATGCACACAAAGGTGTAAAATGTGTACGAGTTGTCCATAAAATCGACGTCGATTTCGACTACGCTGGAAACGTATGTACAATAGTTGTTATATATGTACCGCAATGACTCAATTTTATTGGATGTGTACAATAACATCTCATAATCCATACTTACCAACCTGAAGAAGATGTTTAGAAATAGGAACACCACACCTTACCGAGCAATAGGGTACTGAGAGTGAAAATACAATGGTGCCAAAACGAGGTACGACCCCTGGGACCAAGGGACCAAGCGCAACCACGTGACAATGAAAACGAATGAGAAAATGGACTCCAAACAAACGAAGCGAACAAAGGCAAGAAGAAGGGATTTCCAACTACGTTCTGAAGAAGTCCTCCATTGCAGAGAAAAAAACAAATATTAAACAATTGAAAACATGCACAAGTATATGTAACATTGATGTAAAAAAAAAGCTTCAATCCCAAGCAAACTCCAACAAAAGCTCTTCTTGTACAGACTACATTGGATTTAGAGACAGGAAGTCGGGTACACCTGGTGTCACGTGCTACTGATGTCATGTGATAATAAGGCTTGGTGATACCAGTGCCACGTGATACTGGAGTCAGGGGATACTTGTGACAGGTGACGACACTGAGGTCAGTTGATTTTGAAATGGAAACTCTAATATTATCAAGAATGACTACAATTGTATTTACTTTATTATGACAATAAACTACGTGTAGGGTGATTTCCATATGAATATTTTGAATTATTCATATTTATTACATTCAATACACATTTAAAGGGAATTTTTACATTTATCTGACTTCTTTTGAATTCTTCATATTTATTACATTCAGTTCACATTTCAAGGGCATTTTTACAAGTTTTTAAGCCTTTTTTACGATAATTTGAACACGAATTATCTGCCCTTTGCTTCCACAATTCAGTCACCTTTACTTTATTAGGATAAAAAACATGACGTTATAATAAGGTTTTATTACAAATCCATTGCCTAAACTAAAACAGCTGAAAGAAAAATGACCGCGATTTTGCGGAAAATGTTGCAAAAATAGACACAGTGAAACTGCAAGCAGGTTGAAACGTGAAACCTCAAAAAAGTCGGGGTTTTTTACCTGTGCTGAATCTTAATGCACCCATGGTAGCTTACAACGGTGTCGAGACTGCAAACTAAGAGAGCTAATACAGAGAATCAACAGGTATTGTTAAACGCGTTTCTGACACAGGTCTATAATAGTATATGGCCATTTTTACTCATATGATTGTGACATGATTTTGAAATATATGTTTATAGATTGTTACAAATACACCAACTTTATGCAATGAGAGACAATCGTCTGCTACTATATATATATATATATATATATATATTATATAAAGAAAAATTCTTAACAACCAGTCTTTAGTACTTTCATCTCTTCTAGGAGATTATTCAGAGTCTAAAGAATCTCCTAGAAGAGATGAAAGTACTAAAGACTCGTTGTTAAGAATTTTTCTTTATATAATATTTCTTCGTCCTAAGGATCATTCTCTGATTTATAATATGTATATATATATATAGTATTTATATACTGTAAAACGTTTGTTAGTTTAAAACAGAATTGTGACTGTTTTTTTGGCTTCGTCGCAAAATCTGTTTTATGCAGGCATATTGCAGACGTCTATCAAAGCCAATTTATCTTCATTATCAACATACATTATGTGAAATTACGTTTATCTTATCGAATCATGTAAACACGGAAGTATTGATCGTCAGCCTCGAACATGCCCTAAAGGGTGCTGCCCTAATACCTAGTTATCTGATTGTTAGATAGACTAGGCCTTGCTTCCCAATAAATCCCCTTTTCTCTTGAATAACGTTACCAGGGAGACACACACATTCCACTTCAGTTGTGGACTTTCCTGGTTTGTCTCAACAGTTGTCAGTGTCGAGGGTGAATATCATTTCATTTTAAAATGCCCTATATCTAACGATATTCAAAATATTTATATCAAAATCTTCTACCGAATTATTATCTACGTCTTTAAATTAGTAAATTTGTTATCATAGACAAATATAAAATATTTGTGAAATTTTCGTTTATCATGTCAATATACATCGTGCCCTGTGTAGTGGATAGTAACTGGTTGTATCAATGGAATGACCCTGAAAATGATTACAGTAAGTAAGACTGTTTTACATTTTTTACCTTAGAACTGATATTATTTAAGATCGAAAAAGAATCAGGAATACCCAACCTTACTCAAGGTGAACTGGTAAACTTGTTTATATAGATGAGAAACGCGACTCTAAACTTCAGTCCGAATAAGAGTCAAAATGTAAATGAGAAATTCATAGTCTTTTACTCAACTTACGTGATAGGTGAAATATTTAAGATTGATAAAAGTGGTAGAAAACATTGTGCTACTAAACTTGAGTCAGGATGACGGCTAAATATTCGGTTTAAGTTAACTCATTCACCCCTGAAATTTCATAATGAACTATCCAAACTTTGAATTGGACGAGTTCAAATGTGACGTCAGTGGTGAATGAGTTAATGAGATCACGAAGTCTGTTATTAACATCAATAAAGATGGCGGCTAAACAGGTATAATTTATGTAAATGAGCCCAAGTAGTCTGCTACTAAACTTGGTGAAAATATTCATCGTTATGAACTTTTTGTTGCCATTTAGTCGTAAAACGTTTTTATTATTCTATGACTGTAATTTTACAGATTGTATAACAACATTTCACGAATCGTAATGATATATATATAGATATGCTTACTATGTTTTGAAATTCTTGCATTACTCGTAAAACAAGTAAAAGTAAAAATATTTTCCTGTTATCTATTTGTATCATAGGGTATACAAAAACACACCATGTTTGACCTATTTTTTAGCAAACTATTTTCTTGCATATATTGTACGAAACGGATATGATTAGATAAGTATTCTCCCTGTCTAAGTAATTTCCTATACGCCGAATATAAAATACACATGACATAAAATGTACATTATGTCGTCCTTCTGACCGAGGCAGTTTCTAGCTAACCTGAAATGTGTTTGGTCTGGCCTGTGATTAAAAAGAGTTATTCATTTTATTCGTCCAGTTGTTCATTGCGAGTTCGGGATTGGTACTTCCGGGTACAAAATGTTATTCGAAAGAAAAGACATTAATTAATCGTTATAAAATTAAAACTACCACATATTGTTGTCGCAACATCAGCCTTCACACAGTGGATCCTAATTATAACAACTAATAAGCAGGAAAAGTCAATATGCGAGTGTAATGTATTTATCGCCTACATCAATATTGGTTTTGATCAAGATTATGATATCTTTGAACAATCAGTATAAACACGGACTTGGATATTTAATCTATTTCCGTCATATAAGATAATTCTGGCCACAACACTATAGAAGTAAAAGTGTCACCAACCTTCAATCCGGATTCGTCCATGTAAACACACACACACGTACAGCTATATTTTACAAAAAATACAGAGCTACAGCCTACAATGCTCTGTTAGACTGTATCTCCAGGCGTTTTTGCCCCAGGCAGTAATGTCGACATATGACTAGCTAGCTCTACACTGACATGTCTGTGTGTTTCTGTCGCGTTTGTGACGTATGCGCATCGTGTACGGACAGATAAAGCGCTACTGTGTTATCTCTAATGGTAAGTCACTACCTTAATCGTTGGACACATTTTTAAATGAATTCTTAATGTTCGAAAATTAGTTGATTTATTCTTAAGTATATAGGACAAGTTAAAAACTATTTTATAATTATTTTAAATACACCTGTTTTCACGATGACACGTGTGCCTTACGCTTTCCCCTACACTATAACGCCAATCAGTGTGACCCTTTCAGCTGTTAGAAGATACTACTTGAAAAAGGGAGAGGTCGGGTCAAAGTTCGTGGGACTGTACAGAAGACTTAACTAAGATACTCGTGTGTTTCCGGTAATTTCCGTTCAAACGAATGTACGGAATTATTACTTCATCTCATTCGGCTAACCTCGGCCGATTCCGGTAGGTACGGAATCTGCCGAGATGTGACGAGTGATCTTCATATGTGTTCAAACGGAACTGCGTTGCATACCCTCATAAATGTGTCAAAAAAAGCATTTCAAACCTTAAATAAGTTCTTGTAAGCAAAGCTAAACCAGCTTTTCCGCGTCATATTGTGGCACATATACGTAATCAATTATGCCAGATCTTGCTGATTTTTAATAAGGACATGAAAGTGTTGCCTATGTCAACTGCAACACCAGTTCAGTTATAGCTATTTCCCTACCACGCGGACTTTTTTAATTTACTTTTCGTTCGTTTATCTTAATTACAAACGATCACATCATAAGAAAATTGTTTTGGAGTGGTTATAACCAACGGAATTAAAAAGAAATATTACTGTAACTTTTAAAAAGCTACTTAAGATTATTATTGATTATGATAATTTTATAAAACAAAACACCAAGTTTTCATAATCTTGTGACACAACACAGACGAAGTAGAATGTAGCAATTTAAAGACCATTTTTTGAATCGATTGCATTTAATTCGGCCGGAGATATAAAACCATAATTAAATTGTAAAGAACATGATTATTGTATACATGTCCCTGAATTTCAAGCAAAAAACACTCAGATATTACACACGTATTTTGCGAACATGGATTTGTTACATTTTTTATCTGATGTGATATTACTGTATAACTGGGTGATGCTGAGCAACAAAGATTACAGTCAATTGTATGTATATGCTTTAATAGATTAGAAATACCAAGAATACCCGGAAAACTGGTCTTCTGTGTCAACCTGCGTCACTTAATCGGCTTAACGTGTCAAAACAAAATCCCTGTGTAATGTGTGTCCCATGATAAGATGTACTTCATATAATTCACACCGCTTGTTACGTATGCATGGTGACCTTTGACCTACAAACTCGAAAGCCTCCAACCATTGTTATTGCAATTATTATCAATAATTTGTATATACATACCATACATCGCCAGCACACACGCAGACATACACACATAGGGAGATATTAGTTAGGTGGCATAGGACTAGTAGTTAGCGCCTGATAAGGCAGCTCCTGCGAATTTATCAAAATTGTATTGATAAATGTATAAACTAATTGTGTAAATTGTATAATTGTGTATCTATGTAATGTAAAGCGCGTTAGAGTGGCTTTTTCTAGCTAGATATGGCGCTGTATCAAATGTTGTATGTAATATAATAATGATATGGTTATACATAGAGTCAAAATGGAGTTATCGGCCTTTTTGGAGAAGTGTTCCGTATGTCATTTTGTAGGAAACACACCGATTAACATAGCTTAATTATTGAAATGTATTGTTTCTATTTTATCGATATTTTGAAAAGTTGTATAGATGTATTCAATCTAGAGTACGTCAAGTCCGGATTTCCCCTATTACGTCTTCATCTCGCTATGATAAATATGCACTTCCGGTAATAATCATTAAATATCTCCGGTGAACAGTTACATATGTAAGTTGGCATGAATGGTCTACTTTTTTCATTTAACCTATTTCTCAAATTCTCAGTTCGATTGCACATTTGAAAAAAAATCTGCCCAACAAGTTTAAATTTCCTTTAGAATTTGAATTCACATATCGCGAAAAGGTCAGGAACAAGGTCACCATACCGGTCAGTGTAGAAAGGTATTTTAGCCGAATTTATTTCATACGTTTTATGTATTCAATCAATACTGATAAGATTTCAATCGTATGTTGAATGCGTACCAGCTTTACTTATCAGTATACGATTAGAACTATATTCAGGCTCATGTTCAAAAATATAAAATGATAAATCAGAACGATTGTTTGACCTTATAAAGAAATATTGAATTTAGTTATATTTGGGAATGTATGAATAAGCCCTGATTATAATTGTAAACGTGTAATGTCAAGGCGAATATGATGAATTATCTCTCTTCAATGTTATCAGCCAGTTTCGTCGTGCTGTTACGGAACAGGTATAACTCACCCATAAAGCTGGCTTAAAACATTGCCACGTTTCTTATCCGTATTCTATCTTTTTCCCAACTAGTATTCTTCTTAAATAAAAACATGTTCGTGCTACTTATGTTTGACGTAAATAATATCAGGATTTAATCAATTTAAATACGTGTGTCTAACCCTAACACTTTTATGTAATAAAAAGATATGTTATAAAATCTTACCGCAGAGTAAGCGCAAATGAATCGCCAGCTTTACATATTTTAAATTAGAAATTTTCTCGAAAATCACACCAACACGAAAGAAAATTTCCAGAAAGTTAAGAAACATTTCTTATTAAAAATCCAGAGATTTTCAATTCGTGAATCAAGAGAGATTCTAATATCTGGTCCCAAGACTTAATGTAAATTTTACAGACCGTCTCAACGTGTACGGGATTTCCAATACATAACATGTGACGTGTCCCCCGGACACACAATACCAATCCTTCCCATCGTTATGAGCCGTGGGTAATTAGTACGCGTTAATAACAAATTGATCAGGGTGAACAGGCTTTACAAACTTCAATAGGTAGTTCACCAAAATGCTTTTTATATAAAAAAAAAAATGGTTCAAATTTTTTCTCTTCAATTTTACCTTACTAAGTACAAGATATAGAATACGACTTACCAGATCACGTAATTCTACACATATAGAATTGTTACTACAGAACTAAGGCATTTTAAAGAACGTTACTTCACTATCGACGAAGATGAATTTCACTTTTTATCATTTTGAAGTAATATTTCAAAATCTTAGAGTGCGGTTTATTAAAAAAACATTATTGCAAGAATCCTGTTTACATGCTATTCAGTTGTTGACCGTCCATAATAGTAAACAGCTGTGTATGTTTGGAAAAATAAATTGATAATCATGACTTTGAAAACAGATATATTTAAAATATAGACTTTTTCTATACATTGTGTGTTGTATCATGTACTGACAGGCCTATGGTTAGAACTAATTGGTATGTATTATTGCAATGTAACAAAATGTATGAATAAATAAATTTGGATTTATTCGCAAGGAGTGCCGTCCTCAACTTCAGTAATGGCCCAGTATTCATTTTGTCACTCCTAAACGATCTTGTCTTTAAACAAATTAATGTTTTTACGTTTTGATATTTGTTATCAAAAAAAATAATGAAAAACAAATATATAAACAATATTTATATCAAATGTAAAAGCTATATATGTTTATACATATATATATATTTATTACACAGGGGTGATCTATTCTATTATTACACAGGGGTGATATATTCTATTGTTACACCTCAAGTGAATTTCTAGCTATGTGATTGGTTGGGAGAAAATTAAACAAAAATCTCTGTCACCCTCCGAAAATAAATTGGTTTTAAGGGGCGCGGGTGATATTGCCACGAGACAGTGAAAAATATCACATGCGCAAAAAATGTGCGTGCACCGCTTCGTTTCCCCACCGTGATGGTCACAAGAACGTTTGACGGCAACAGCCTATTTCATCAGGCGCCGGTGCGATAGCGATTGTAAACAGCAGACTATCAACAAACAAGATGTCATTATCGAGGTTTGCTGCCGTTTCTGAGCTACATTGACTTTTGGTGTAACAAAATAGATATTACATTCATTAGCAGGGGACAGTGAATATTGTCAACCCTCAAAAACCCATTGTCACCCTCGGCTTCGCCTCGGGTGACAATGGTTTTCTCGGGTTGACAATATTCTCTGTCACCTGTTAATGAATGTCATATTTATATATTATTACACAGGGGTGATATATTCTATTGTTACACCTCCAGTGAATTTCTAGCTATTTGATTGGTTGGGAGAAAATTAAACAAGAATCTCTGTCACACTCCGAAAATACATTGGTTTTAAGGAGCGCGGGTGATATTGCCATGAGACAGTGGCAAAAACCCATTGTCACCCTCAGCTTCGCCTCGGGTCACAATGGTTTTCTCGGGTTGACAATATTCACTGTCACCTGCTAATGAATGTCATATTGATATAATGTTACACCTCAAGTGAATTTCTAGCTATTTGATTGGTTGGGAGAAAATTAAACAAAAATCTCTGTCACCCTCCGTAAATACATTGGTTTTTAAGGGCGCGGGTGATATTGCCATGAGACAGTGAAAAATATCACATGCGCGAAAAATGTGCGTTCACCGCTTCGTTTCCCCACCGTGATGGTCACGAAAACGTTTGACGGCAACATCCAATTTTATCAAGCGCCGGTGGGATAGCGATTGTAAACAGCAGACTATCAACAAACAAGATGTCATTATCGAGGTTTGCTGCCGTTTCTGAGCTACAAAGACTTTTGGTGTAACAAAATAGATATAATGTTAAAACTGGTAATAACATAGATGCGCAACAGTTTTACCTATCAATAATATTGATTTTTAGATTTTTTCCCCCAAACAAGTCAAATCGGAATATAATGGACCAAGCGTGTGTAGACCATTGTCTGAGAAAACGAAAGTAAAACAAAGTTAGTCATCTTCTAGTCTTAATTACATGTAAGTGTATTTGGCGGATGCCAATGCATTGTAAGTACCGACTCGTCTAGTGGCTTTATATCGTACCCTATTTAAAGGGGCTGGTCGGGGGGGNGGCGAAAGAA